GCTTGTAATTATTACTTTATTATCAACATAAAAGTGTAATAAAAACACTTGTATTTTTTGAAAAAAAAAGGAAAAAAAAAGGAGAAAAAATAAAAACACTTGTATTTTTTGAAAAAAAAAGGGAAAAAAAAGGAGAAAAAATAAAAACACTTGTAAAACGGGGATTATTGAGGGCCCGAAATGAGTTCGGACTTATCGTTGTCTGGCTCGTTATCTCAGAGTGGTTATACATTGCAATGAAATGGATTAAAATACTCAGGTAATAGACTATGTAAAATTTAGAGAAGCACGCTACTTATATATATATATATATATATATATATATATATATATATATATATATATATATATATATATAAATATATATATATATATATATATATATATATATATATATATATATATATATATATATATATATATATATATAGGGGGCCCAAAAAAAATTTTTGCGGGGGAGCCTTTTTTTTCTAGTTCCGCCACTGGAGGGAATAAAGAATTTTTTAGGCTAATGTTTCACTTCGTGAGTGACATTTTTTAAAATCTCGAGACCCGACCTTTTAGCATTTTATTACACTTTATACGGTAATTAGAGACTGTTTTTTTTACTTAGGTTCAGTGGCGTTGGTAGGGTTTTGTCATGGAGTGGGGTGCATCTTGTTTTTTACTCACACACCTGAACACGATAACTTGAGTACCGTTTCAGTTTTGTTAAAAAAAATTATACATAGGTATCAAATCGAATTAGTAGTTCTGTATCAACTTTTAACCATTTCCGGTAACCGGAGATGGTACTTTCTCTACTTTCTGTTTCTAAAAAGCCAACAGCTTGAATACCATTAACGTTAATTGGGCAACATTTCAAATGTATGTATTACATTGTATGCGCTTGTTTCTGTCGAATTTTTAACTATTTCCGGTAAACGGAAGTGCTACTTTACTCTGATTTCGTGTGAAGACTACAGCTTGAGAACTGATCATATTATTTCAACGAAATATCTTATACAATATCTTATAAATGGATTACTTCAAATTGCTGCTGCCATCCGATTACCGGAGGTGGTACTACTTAACTCTAAATCTGCGTTCTGAAATTCCGATAACTTGAGTATCGTTTCTTTTAGGTGGACGAAAATTTTAAATACAGGTATAAAATCCTATCCACTTGATTCTAATTAACGCCTTTTCGATTTCAGAAACCAGATAGCTTCTACCGAACCGATTTCTTCAACGCTTTTCACGTAGGTGTATACTCAATGTGACTTAATGTTTGGCTGAATTAGATGTTTAATTAACTTTTTAAAACTTAATCAATATTTTTTTATAAAGCACCAATTTTCCCCTCTTATATACACACATTGTTTATACTCATTTGGTTCGCAATTCTTTTTTCTACGCCTTTAACTCTTATTAATTCATATTGTTTTATGCATACACAAAAACGTAATAGATAAATAAGGTTTAAGATCCACAAATTTTTAAAGTCCAACATATTAAACTCGGTTTCCCTAGCTGAACAGAGGTGTGGACCTAATGACGGGACAAACATTGTATAGTTGACAGCCACATTTCTCTGTGACTTTAAGCGTGATGTCAGAATTATCTGTGATTAAAATCTGTGTCAGCATTTATGGGTGATTAAAATCTGTCTCTGGTGAAGTTAAAATTTGCTTGATTAACATCTCTATCGATGGAATAATTTCTGTGTGATTAAAATCTATGTTAGAAGTTATGAAGTTAGAATGTATGTAAAGGAAGTAAAGTTCCTCCTTTGTTTTCCGCAACGTGAGTTAGGTACCCATCAGAGCTGGGTGGACTCAGGGACGGCCTACTGACTTGAACCCGGATTCGAACTTATGGGTTAGCAGTCCAGCTAGAATGTGTGCGATTAAAATCTCTCTATGGTAGGCGCCTAACGAAACAAAGTGACAAGATGTAATCTCACACGATCGCGTAAGTCAAATTATTATCTGATGTTTCGGTTCTTGGTAGGACCGTCAGTCACAAGGTAATTGAAAAACAATTTTGGACACATTTTTTTCTAGCGCAGTCGAATTTTTAAAGAGCTGTTCTATGATGGTTATCAACATTTTCTACTTTCTCATCATACTTTAAAAATTTTAATTCAATTTAATGTAAATTCAAACGTAAAAAAAGAAAAAAAGTTTGCTTTGTTTAAAAACTAGTTCCACCCAAGGGGTCAAAGATCATTTTTTAAAATAACTTTGTCGATGTTGAAAATTAAAGTCGTTTAGAATCAGCGTTTCTTTCAAGCAACTCTTTAGAAGGGGAGGTGGGTACACCCCAAACGAAAATGATTTTTTTGAATATACTTTTACTCTATAAAACTAAAGATGTATCCTATTTAGTCTTATTTAAATCGTTTAATAAAGATGGCATTGTGTAGGTAAATCTTTCAGTTTCTGTAGGCTTTAGGGAAGTCTTTGTTGAAGATTAATTAACAGTTTAAAGATCAGTGTCTTAATGAGGCAATGTACAACTGTCATAGGCGCGCGTCTGGGGTTGACTAGGGGATTAGGGATGGAATACACACACACACACACACCACACACATATATATATATATATATATATATATATATATATATATATATATATATATGTGTATATATATATATATATATATATATATATATATATATATATATATATATATATATATATATATAATATATATATATATATATATATATATATATATATATATATATATATATATATATATATATATAT